TCGGTGGTCACTATTTACACAGGCCAGAATTGTGACTTTGCTTGCTGGAGTTATGAAGAGATTTCTGGTTTTATTTCTCTCCCCGGTTTGCAAAAAAAACATATTGCCACCTTCCTAGAAAGGTATTCCAATAGTCACAAAAACTGTGTGTAAATATATTGCAATTTTTAGTTTTATTTTCAAGTAGGAATAATGAATGCCCATCCATTTTATAATGCAGTTTAAATACAATATTAAAATATGGTGACTTAGGAACCATAATGCTAAGAGTTTGTCACCCCATTTATTTACTTTGTGTCATTACTTTGTGTCATTACTCATCACATAATGATCTGGTTAAGATTCTGACCAAAAGCTACAGTGTGAGGACAGAGAAATATTTATGTACTGGAGGCCAGGTGGCAAGTCATTTAAAAGACACGCTGAACATTCAAACTTGAGAATAAGCCTTACATAGTGCAATGGCTCTTCATTCTGTAGCACTTGGTATCACCTTACTTTTCATAGCCATTCATTTTTCTTGCTTGAATCTTTGGAAATTAGTAAATTTAAAAATTAATATTTCAAATCATTATTCTGTTTACCTTCAGTAGGATGTCCAGGTGTTTGGAAGTTTTCTCGGGGACTAAGAATCCTGGACTAAAGTTGGGTCTTTTAATTAACTGATTATGTGACCTGTTAGGTCATACTCAGCATCCTTATTTGTAAGGGAAGAATATAATTCCTGTCCTGCTTTCCTCCCAGGATTCTTTCAAAGATCAAAATGGGAGCATGGGGGCTGAGCACAGTGGTACATGCCTAGAATCCCAGCCACTACTCCTGAGACTGAGGCAGGAAAATCCCAAGTTCAAGGCCAGTCTGGGCAATTTAATTTAGCAGGAGGTTGTCTTAATAAAAAATAAAAGGGATGGGGATATAACTCAGTACTAGAGTGTTTGCTTGGTATATGTGAGAACCTAGGTTGGATTCCCAGTACTGCCAAAAAAAAAAAAAAATCAAGGAATTCTATATCTATACTGTGATGTGAAAATTCCTTGTGTTATCCACACAGTGTTTCTGCAAACTCGGCATGGAGAGGTGCTGTTATCTTTATTTTGCCATACAGATTAAGACCTAAGAAATTATACTGAATTCTTAGGATTGTAGAGTGTGTTCATGGAAGGCTAGTGCTGTATTTATTCTCCCTTGCCTGAGTTTAATATTTGGAAAAGTATGTTAACTTCTTCGAGCTTTTTAGTCACCTGATAATTTAAATTTGAATATACTGAAAATTGTACCTGCATAGAAAGAGAGGGCTGAAGGAATTGCAAGGAGCAAGGACATGTGGCAGGCCAGGGACAGGATTCTCTTTACTCTCTGGCTGCCACCTGCCTTGTTGGAGGTTCAGAAGGGCCCTTCCCCTTCTGTGGAGAAGGCTTCAGACCCAGAGGCCTCAAATCACTAGGCCTGGCATGTTTGGATGGGCTAGCAAAACAGCCCCAAAGTCAAATGAATGTAGAAGTATCATGTTGAAACTCCGAGAAGATGGATTATTAGAATATTCTAATCAGCATGGGTGGTGAATAGAAATTAACTATATTGATCCCATAACTATTAATTTGAAGAAGGTACAAAGTCTGTTTATTGTGTTGCCAGTGTTTTGATTTAGGAAATGTTAATACTTGTTAATACTCCTGGCTTTCATTGGCTTACCCTTCTCTTGTTCTACCTTTTAACCTGGTTTTTCCCACAAGTCCCTACACATAGCGGTCCCCAGTGTGGGTCTCCCAGGGACTGCATCTGTTGACTGGAGCAGGCAGTGGTGGAGGTTAGAGTGGCAGTTCTGGTGACTTACTGACCTGAGTTCTGAAGCACAAATCCAGAGCTGTTTTCCTTGTTTGCCAGCTTTTCTTAATGAACTCCTTGAAGACATACAGTGCCCTTATCTGCCTTTATGAAAGGACAGTTGTCCTTAGGTGAATGTTATCAATAAGACCTGGAGGAACAGGTGATTCATTGACAGACTTCAGCCATTGACTTCTTTCTTCCTTGCTCTCTTGGAGTTTTAAACATTCCCATAACTCTTACACCTGTCCTTTTGTTGGATATTTTTCTACCCCTTTGTAGTCACAGAAGTTTTACTTGGATATAGATTATCTTTCTAAAATATATCTGAGTTTAGTTCTGCTTTTAAGTCATTATGAGCAAACATTTTCTTCTTGAAACTTAGTAGGAAAAACTTCACATCAGCTCCAGTGAAGCTCAGGGGGCAGGTTGGCTGGCAGAACAGGTTCCACTCAAAGCAAGCTTTGAGGAAGAGAGAAGATACTTTTCCCCCCCCTCAAATGTTCATCTTTAGGGACTGGAGTGGGAAGAAAGCTTTTATTAGGAGGTGGGCACAGTGGCACAGAAAAGCAGGAAATATGCATTGGTGAATGCAGTTTGGCTGTGTCAATCTGAAGCATGGCCCATTCTCAGTTCCCTAGAGCCCTTCAGGGTCAGGGGGCCCTTGGCCTTCATTCTCAGTATGAGGAGGTTCAGAAGTTAAAGCAATTTGGAACTTTTAATTTCAAAGGGGATCTGTTTCAAGCTCAATTTGGTTTGGTGCCATCTAACGTAATTCTGGGCCTTGACATCTCACCCTCCATCAGAACATTGCCTGGAAGTGCAAAAGGTTCTCATTACTGCACAACGAAGAAGAGATTAGAAAAGTACATCAACTGCTAGCAGTTATGCTGTAGATGAAAACGACATTAAACAATTCAAAATATTTTATGTTTTGAATTATTTCTCCTAAGGTTTTACATAATTTATATAGATGATAAAAAATTGATTGGATTTTCAAAAGCAAATGGTTTTATTTAATAAATGATAGACTTAGGAAAATGGTAGACATTATTAACCAAAAATATTTTAAAACCTTTAATAATGGTATGGAAAAGCAGTATTTATGGAATCACATTATCTGTGATTCCAGTGCTATGAAATTTTTCAGGTTTTCAGGAAAAGAGAATTTATAGATAAGGATGATCCTGAGGATGGGTAGATGGATGCTTATTTGTTTTCATATGTATTTATAATGAAATCTTCATTTAGCACTTTGAAGTAGAAGTCAGATTTCTATTGCTTTAATGAGAGTAAATAACTCCAAGCACAACTGTTTTATAAATATAATGATTTTTTTGTATGTAAAACTTAGTCTATAGATACTGATATCCTTTCTAGTCATGATTAAAAATATTACTTATGTCTCTAAATACTATTTGCCACTGCAAGGAAACAGAGCCCTTGGACAAATGACTGGTTCAAACTGAGGCAGGAAAGATACAAGTTCATTCTGCAAAATCTTGTCATACCAGAAAGCAAGAAAGTTATCAAAGACTCCTAGGATCTTGTCAAAAGAACTTAAAACCCAACCTGAATATGCTCTTGTAACCCTATATCAATAAAGATATAAATGGACTGAAACGTATCAAATAATTTTCAATCATAAGTTCTTAATTATACTTCAAAACATTAAAACCTCATTGGCCATGTTTGGAGAGTATTAGGGACTACCTCAGTGTTTTGAGAACTGGCAAATAAAGAGACAGGTGTCTACTCTTCTTTCCTATATAATCTGAACCTCAGGGTACTTAAGAGGGAAATTTCTCTTTATAGAATTATTCCAGCTAATAAATCAAGAATGAATGATATATTATCACTTTGAAGTTTCTAATGAACTATTGGATTGAGACAAATGCTAATGGCTTACAGTATAACAGAAAGTCAGATGTTGTGTGCCTTCTAATGGAAGTCCAGACTGTGCATGAAGCACTAGAGCTTGAGTCAGATCAAGTCTCTAGATTGTGTCAGCAGTTTATAGGAATGCAGAGGACAGAAGAACCTGTCAAGTAGCATGTTAAAGCACACTAGTGGTATGCAGTGAGTGAAGTCCCGATTTGGAAACTACCAAACAACCCAGTTTCTTCAACATAAAAAACGTTCCAAGGAAAGACTAGAAAGACTAAAGAAGAACCTATAGATAAAAGAAATTTTTAAAAAACATATCACAGAATAACAGAGTTGAACTTTGTTTGAATTCACATCCAAACAAACAGAAACAAAATTGTAATGCTTGTTTGATTGTATTAAATAATTATTTTAATTTTGGGTGTGATAATACTATAGAGGTTTGGTATTTTTAATGTCCTTGTCTTTTAGATTCACACACTGAAATATTTACAAGTGAAGTGATATGCTTGGCATTCATTCCAGAATAATTTGGCTTGAGCAGTCAGGGGTGAGATTGTCAGAGGGGAGTTAATGGGATCATAAATGAAACAAGATTGGTCAAGTATTGATGATTGTTGAAGCCAAGAAATAGATACAACTAGTTTGTTTTTCTATTTTTTCTTTTGTGCATATTTGGAATTTCCAAAATAAAAGTTAATGTATATGTGTCATATATATGTATATTTATGTACACACACGTATAATATATATGCACACACTTATATTCTACAAAATTAATGAAAACTGCAAAGTTGATTCAGGTTTAAATATTAAAAATACTTTGCCCATTCTAACAAATGTATAGTGGCAAACTCTGAGACACTTAACATTTGCAAGTACTTGTAGTGAAAATACTATGAAATATATTCAACTAAAAGATTACTTTGCTATACACTACTATAGACCTTATAACTTCTTAATGATTACACGTAGACTTAAGATCAAAAGTGAAACTTCAGATTGTGCTCTTAGTTAAGAATCTCAGATCCTAAAGACCTTTTATGTGTAGTTGGGGGAGATGTACAACAATATTGCATGAAAAAAATGTGAACTGTAATTCTAATATGGCAAATATGTAAACTGGAGAGAGAGAAAGCAAAGCTAAAGGGCTTAACCAAGGCAGGACTTTTACATTCCCTAAAGCTCCACTAGGGATCCTCTTCCTGAATAGCTAAGTGTCTTTTATGTTTCTCACTTAACTTTTTCCTTCTAGGTAAATAAACTTGTTTTTGTTTGTTTATTCCTAGTTGGGGAATGGCAGTCAATGTGTATTCTACCTCGATAACCCAAGAGACTATGAGCAGACATGACATCATTGCATGGGTTAATGACATAGTATCTTTAAACTACACAAAAGTGGAGCAGCTTTGTTCAGGTAAGAGAACATCTTTTAAGTATTTGCCTTAAATGTTTACTGTCTTATGGAATGTGATTTTATGAACCAAAAACGATACATTTGGGGTAGAAGAAATATCTATATCTACTAAAGGGAGGAAACTCAGGTATAGCTAAAGAACATATGGGAGAAAAATATTTATCAGCATCTAAAAGCATAGAACTACCCTGCTGAGTATCATGAGTAGTCTCTAGCTTGGTCTCTATAACAGCTTGCATTTCTGTGACCTACGTGCCTGACAAGAACAACTTAGAGCAAGGAACGTTCTTTGGAGATCACTATTTCAGAGGTATCTGTGTATAGTGGGCCAAGTCTATTGCTCTGGGCCCAAGGGAAGTGGAAGGGCATGGTGGAGGAAGGCTGCTCACTGTTCATCAGCCTGGTAGCTGAGGGAGAGAAGGGGAAAGGGGCCACAGGGAAGAATAAGCCTTCCAAGGGTGCCCCTTCGTGTACTTCCTTCAGCCATGCCCTACCCGCCTACAGTTACCACCCTGTCCCTTTAACCAGGATGGACTGATTAGGTTACAACTTTCACAGTCCAGTCATTTTACCTCCTAGCATTCTGCATTAACACAGAAGCTTTTGGGGGACATCTTGTATCCAAACCATAATAGTCTAATAGCCTCTTCTTCATCTTCTGCCTGCTACCACATTTACTGCTCCAAACAGAGTGAGTTTTGCAATAGCCTTCCTTAAAAATCTTCAGGGCTCCACACTGCCCTTCCCACAGGGTAAAATTCAGACTTCACATCACTGATAAAATCCTTTCCCTTCTGGCTGTGACGTACCCATCTTCTTAATTTCATCTATCACATCTTCCCCGCAAAACACTGTTTCACAAAACACTGTTTCCTAAAGACTCCTTTCGTTTGCTATTCAGGACTTTTTTCCATACTCCCTTTGTTAAGAAGGTCTTTCTCCTTCTTTTTGTTTGTGATAAAATCTTGTTCACACTTTAAAGTCCAGCTCACCTGCCACCCACTCTGAGAAGCAATGCCAGGCTCCACTGTGTTCCTGAAGCATTGTGCCCACCCCTCCAGAATAACACTTGCTGTGTTATAACATCTAACTCCTGCTCAGTCAAGGGAGTTCTTGAGGACAGGCCTGTCTTTTTGTCCAATGCCTGTGACATCCCTTATGCCTGATACCAAGTCAGTCTACAAGGAATTAACTGAGTTAAACTTATATGAAAAAAAAATAAAGATATAGTTTCAGTAAGTGGAATCCTGTTGTAAATTAAAGTGAAATTCCATGAGACAGATTAGATAACCAAGGAGTCATCAGTTTTAGCTGATGCACTGGTATTGGACATTCTCCTCTTTCCCAGTGGATCATGTTTTAAAAAAAGATTTCATGCAGTGTAATCAGAATTTGGAAAGCCCTCAGTAGTCACTTTCAGATGATATCTGAGTCCACCACCCACCAGTTTTTGTACTTTCCCTTCTCCAAGTCTGGATTTGATCAGAATACTCTAGAGGACTAACTTTCAGGACTCTTGACATCTCTTCCTCTTGATCATTATCCCAACCAGCAGGCAGTGAAGTTGGCTAGATCCTAGGGATTGCCTCACCCACCTATCTGCCTGCACCTCAAATATGAAGAAGCCCTGTGACTTATGAGGTTAGGAGTAGGGACAACTAATCAGTTCTCTGCCATTCAAAACAAGCTAGAGAAAAAGCAGACTTAGGATGATATACTAAGTAATTAGAGAAGAGGAGGGTAAAGAGGGAATCCATAATGGCAGGAGGGTTCCTGCCTCAGGTCCAGCTGCTGCAGTGGGTAATAGCCCATGCCACTTTTATATTGCAATTATTTGTGAAGGTGTTCCTTTCTCTGCAGTGCCTGACTTGTAGCATTCCCTCAGCAATGCTCAAGCTAGAGTGAATGAAAAGCAGTTTGCAACACTAGGAAGCAAAGACAAAAATGTGTATCCTACCCACAAAGTGGGTGTGTATACATGTGGATAAGGAGAATGGGTTTGGCTAAAGAGACATGAGAAGGAAGAGGCAATAAGGAAACGAGTTAGAAAATTTCTACTCATGGGCCTTAAATGTTAAAGGAACCCATAGGAGCTTCTGATAAAGAGTTCATTAGTAGCAAATGAAATGAGAACAAATAAGGTTTTTTTTTTTTTTCAGATACTGTAGTAAATGATTGTGACCAATATACATAATCTTTGCAGATCTTTAAAACTTCCCAGATGGCAAACTTAAAAGAATTTCAAAAAGCATGGATGCAAGATTCTTACACAGTTATCTTAGAGCGTTGGCAGACGTTTGTCACCCATTTGCAGCTGCATTGCTGCTGTCAAGTGTGGCTTGATGAAAACCTGAGGGCGCCATTTTGATCACTGTTGAACAGTTCGAATTTCCTTTGAGATGACCCGCCAGCTACCTAAAGTTACAAGGCTAATGGTTCAGAGAAACAAATTTAAAGCTTCTTTTCTACTCTGGAACATGTTTCTCACCATAAGAAATGTAAACAGATGAACAGGCATGTTCATCTCCAGAGCAGAGAGACCCAGGTCTTTATTTCAGGCAGTGGTTTTCTCAAAATATAAACTGTGGACCCAATGCACATATGGTCTTCTGGGGAGCTGCTGAAAATGTGGATTTTTGGGACTCTTGACCTTCTAAGTCAGTACCTCTTTCTTAGGCATGAAGCCTAGAAACTTGAATTTTCAAGAGCAACCCAAGGATTTTTGTCTGCAGCCAAGAGCTTGCAATACATTTTTGAGAAACCCCAAACTAAAAGTGAAGTTAAATTATCTAAAAGTTACCTGGCACAGTTCCCTTATTTATTATTTAATCTGTGACTTTTGTCTTCAGCAATGGCATTTAACAGGAGGAAGCTATTGTTCTATTTATTTATTTATGAATTTACTATTTATATCCTTCGTTGTTCTGGAAGACATTCAAGGCAGTGCTGTAAGACTAAGAACAAATCCATATATTGTTGACCTAAGTGATGTATTCTCATCTTACTTATGAATAGTCAATTTTGGGGGGGGGGGTAATATTTTTTTCTTCAGTTTATTTTAATTCCTTTTAACTTACTATATAGGATTTTATTTTAATAGTATGCTCTGGAAACACATTCACAAAATTCCTTCACATATGTAAACTGATTTTTTTTTCCTTGTTCAACATCATTTCATACCCTTTCCTAAAGATTTATGCTTCAATGATAGCTGATCCCTTTCGGCTGCTGTTGCATTGTACTATTCCCACCTCCCCACTTATTTTTTTTTTTTCCATTTCTAGTTAAGATATTTTTCCTCCAGCTCAATATTAAATTATCATCAGCTTTTCTTCTGTTCATAAAGAGCTGGAAAATACTGGCTTACATTGAGTTGTATTGTTTTCAGAATTTTCTGCCTTTATATAATTATCATTTGTTTCCACATAAGCATTTTTTAAAAACTCTTTAAAGGAAAGATGGTGTAACAAGGTAGAACACTTGGAAACATATTATCATAAGTTACAAAACAAGGAAAAGATATAACCTTATGAACATTTTCTTTGAACGTTAAATCTTGGTTATATTACATGCATATTTGGTCTGCATTTATTTCCCACGAAAAGGATCCATTAAATTTTGAGTAAAAGCATGGACTGTATAAATGGAGTTTAGAGTATCAGTGGATATATACATATCAGTTATATACAAATCATTGTGGATTCCCATCATGGAATGGAGGATAGAACCATATTATTTGCATTCAGTTGCTTAATAAAATTTATAGGGCTTGGGGGGGATGGGGACACAGATTTTTTTTTTTTTAAGTCCCAGCTCGAACCAGTTTAAGAGATGTTTTAGGACATAGTAAAGAGGGTGAATGCACAGTATGGTGCTAAAAGTCCTAAAAACAGCTTTAGCAACTTGAAACTCTGATTGTAGATGATAGAAAAGATAGCGGGCAGTATGGAGCAGAAGATGCAAAAGAAATGGAGACAGGAGCCTGATGGGATAGAAGGAAGGCGTCTTTCCCTTTCCTCACCCCTGCCCTCAAATACCAAGCCACCTTTGAAACTTCTTACTGACACCCATTTTTCTGTGTCTGTATCCTCTCCCCTAGGCTGGCTTTAAATAGGGGGATCAGGATTTGATTGGGTTTCAATTTGTGCTTCTCCAAATTGGTTCAAGCTTTGTCTTAGACCAAGTTTCTGGTATTTTCTTCTCCAGGAAAGCTTCTGAATCTAGCTGATGATAGAGTGACATTTATGGTTCTAGGTATGTGTGATGGCACTGTGTAAGCGGCTAGGAGGCTCGCACAGGTATGGCCATCAGGCATGCTATGACCTTGGGAACATAGTCCTCTGGGTTTTGTCCTGTTAGCAGTCATTGCTGAGCCCAGCAGAGTATTCTTTTGTGTCCATTTTTGGCTATAGATGTGTGCCTGTTAAATAGGTTGATCCCAGCCTAGCATGGTGTCCCCTGTGCCTCCTCTGTTCTGTCCGCAGAGACCTCTGTCAGGAGAACAGGTTAGTGATGAAATCAGCTCAGAGGCTAAATTTAGTAGAGCTGCTCCTGCTGGGTCTCTCATATTGAAACCAACTAAGGAATTCGGTCCATGTCTGTAAGCCTAAGAGTTTACTCAGCTTTATAAAACCATAGATGGTGATTTTTCTATAAGAAAGTTAAGCCTTCTCAAATTGTGTTACTGTTGTTAGAGAGGTAATGGCACTAGGTAGTTATTCAGACTTAGAGATACTATGTAGAAGGGTTTTGTTTTTGCTGACAACTTTTCTCCCTGATTTTATTTGAATTAAGCTAATTTTGAAATCAGTTTCCTTAGTCTCAGCAGACCAAGTAATTGGAAAAGAAGAGAGCCAAAAGTGAGTCTGGTGATGGCAGGAGGGTCCTGCCTCGGGTCCATGCGCTGCAGTGGGCAGCATATTCGGGTGTCCACAGGTGCACTGGCTGAAGGCAGGCAATTTTTTGAGCAGAATATAGGTGACTAAGGGTAATTTTCCTTA